CAGCAAGAAAATAACTAACCTAGCTTTCAGCTCCTACTAAAAAATGAATCCCAACATATAATGTACTTCAATAAAGTACCTAAATAATTGGCCACATTATACATTTTTACACCTTCATCATGGTACTCATCAATATTTTAATATCACGATACATATGATATCTAAAAAAGTGTATTGCAAAAGTAATTCATTCATATTAGGATTGAATCCCTTAAATGTATGCGTAGTACATATATATCACTATCCTGCATTCACGGTTTTCTTAAACACAACATATATTCGTTTTAGCTCATGTTTCTTATCAAAAGTTTTCAACTGGTGGTATTTGTACAATATGTGAAGTTAAAACACATTAATTTTACAGCTGTAATGAAAAATATTCTGTGGGTTTTTCGGTACAGCTACGTAGATAGGAAATAATAACCAAGATCAAAATCACGACGTTTCGATCACAACACAAGCAATCATCTTTGTCACCTGAAGACGAGTGGTTAAGTTGTGATCGAAACGTCGTGATTTTTATTTTAGTTATTTTTTCTATCTACACGTCTTTACCAAAAGACCCTAAGAATATGAATGCCTGCAGTCATGAAAGCTTGTAATGAATAATGTTATCAACTAAGTTAGTCACTGTTTACACAGAATTTGTACACGTATTTGCAATTATATACCCAGATAGCAATTTTATATTCTAATATTATACACAACTGAATAAAAATCTACATAATGTAATTTAAATTTGACATACTTTTCTAATAACATTTTTTACCCTGTCTAGCCTCTACAACACCGGAAGAACACACGACTCAGACACTCAAAACATCAACAAGAACAACACAAAGATCCTCGACTTCGAAGACGACTGTACATACACCTACACCTGGAGGATCTGCTTTACCACTCACAGAATCTCTGCCACCATTTACAATGCCGCGTAAGTTTAAATATTCATGTTCCACGTGTTTATGTTCATTTCCTTATAATGTTTTCAGCAATTAGCTACATTTTTTCAGTCGAGAGTGGAGAAGAAACTAAATGGAATTTTTGAAAAATAGTAATAACATGAAGTGGGGTTTATCGTTAAAATGTTATTAATTTTCTCGTGTTAAAATTAAAATTATTGCAACAAATAATAAAGCTGGTCCTATAGTGTTCATGTTATTTAGATTGGCGGCAAACCATTCAAATAAGTTAGCGGTCCACACTGATTGTAGTGGTGGTATCCATCATTCTACTATCTTTGGTTGGAAAGGAATGTAAGCGTTTTCGTTATTCATTCAAACGTTCTTCCATACGTCTATTTTATACATTGGAGCTAGGGGAAATCCAAGCAGGTCCAAACAGACACAGAATATCTCTACAACCCATGCACAAGTCAAAAGTGGCATTCCACATTGAGGAGAGGTCATGGCAAGGATGCCATACTGTTCAATGTGATGTGCACCATGTGCGCTCTGCTGCAATATGGTGTAAATTCCAAAATGAATTTCCTTGGCCCCCTCAGAATATGGCCAGCTACTGAGTTATCATCTCATATTTTTATATATATATATGAACGAAGATTACTTGTATAACATGCAATATACACATTTATAATAATGTATCTATATCCATGACACATATTTAGCATATACATATACACAACATATGCTTCTAGATGTACAGTTGAAGAGTAATATGCACATCATTAGCGGGATCATTTAAATAAATGTTAAAAGCAATTACAATATAATAATTATTAGATGCTATGTTTTTTTAAGTCAACATTCTGTATGCATGCAGCACAACCAAATATTAAACACAATCATATTAAGCAATATTTGTCGCGAAACCTGAAGGGATTTTTTAAAAGTTAACTATTATATACCGTATGATACGAGTTAGACAGAAATATCCCCTGCTATATTTTTACATTTAAAAAATATACTTTACTACTTTCGTTGGTGCATGCTTAAGATATTTCTATGTATGAAGAAAGAAAAACTAACTTCGAATGCTTTTCTTACATCAGCTTTCACATCCCCAACTGTTTCTACTACTACTCCAAAAGGATCCACTACAACGAAGTTTTCCACAACTGTCAAGACTCAGTCAACTACACGTAAGGCTTTTATACTCATTCTAAGTCTCTGGAGTCCTTGGGCTTATGTAAAACGTATTACTTCACCATCAAACTTTAGTTGACAAAATAGTAATTAATGGAATTCATTTGGGTGTAATTCATTTTATATATGTATAAATCTAACTGGATAAACTGTGCCGCAATCATTAAGATTCCTCTTATATGTTGTTTCATATTAATATGAAAAATGACACGTCTGTAAACCATGAATGTTTCTAATGTAAATTTTGTTTAATTTTCATTGCAGCTTGCACTTACGTAATGCCTTTCCCGAAGATATCATACTCCTCCTCAAGTGATGAGCAAACATCGGCAAAATCAGCAAGTTCTGAGGCGGACTCTCATGAATCCTGGACCCCAAACAAACATGACAGGTGCGTATTATACTCTTCGCAAATGCCCACATCAAAGATATGTTTACTTAAGATAATTATGAGAATAATCTGTACGTTTTCTGTCATTAATTCTTCTCTGTAATTTTTCCAGCAACCCATACATACAATTCCAGTTCCCTCCAGGGAATGAAGTTATTGGTATACAAATCAAGGGCAAGCAAGAAAAGAATGAGTGGGTTACAAAATTCACAATTTCCTACAGTGTTGATGGAATTGTATGGATTCCACTAAACAAGGTAATACTTTTACAGGTGTCAACGGGTGTTAAAATGTTAATTGTGAGAGTGTTGTGGAATAACATGTAATTTTACAATCACAATGCAAGTATGCTGACGGGATATTTTAAACCATCTTTGTAATGACTGCTTTTATTTTTCAGATATTTGACGGCAACTCTGAGGGACACCAGGACACCATCATTTATTTCAGCCCATCTATCCCATCCAATGCTGCTTATGTCCGTGTTTATCCTATTGAATATCATGAGCACATCAGCTTATTTGTTCAACTTCTCCAAGCCTGTCACCCTGAGGGTAAATTACCTATTCCTAATTTTTTTTGTACCACTTTATTGTAAAGTGTACTGCTTGGCATCAACATGCAAGTAACTAACCTTGCATATTTTCCCTCATATCAGCTTCCACATCTGCACATGTATCTTCAAGCAAACCTCCAGTCTCTCCTACTACTCCAAAAGAAAGCACGACCACAAAGTTTTCCACAACTGTCAAGACTCAGTCAACGACACGTAAGGCTTCTATACTCATTCTAAGTCTCTGGAGTCCTTGGGCTTACGTAAAACGTATTACTTCACGATCAAACTCTAGTTGACAAAATAGTGAATATATAATGCATTGGGGTGTACTTCCTTTTATATATGTATAAATCTAACTGGATAAACTGTGCCGCAATCATTAAGATTCCTCTTATATGTTGTTTCATATTAATATGAAAAATGACACGTCTGTAAACCATGAATGTTTCTAATGTAAATTTTGTTTAATTTTCATTGCAGCTTGCACTTACGTAATGCCTTTCCCGAAGATATCATACTCCTCCTCAAGTGATGAGCAAACATCGGCAAAATCAGCAAGTTCTGAGGCGGACTCTCATGAATCCTGGACCCCAAACAAACATGACAGGTGCGTATTATACTCTTCGCAAATGCCCACATCAAAGATATGTTTACTTAAGATAATTATGAGAATAATCTGTACGTTTTCTGTCATTAATTCTTCTCTGTAATTTTTCCAGCAACCCATACATACAATTCCAGTTCCCTCCAGGGAATGAAGTTATTGGTATACAAATCAAGGGCAAGCAAGAAAAGAATGAGTGGGTTACAAAATTCACAATTTCCTACAGTGTTGATGGAATTGTATGGATTCCACTAAACAAGGTAATACTTTTACAGGTGTCAACGGGTCTTAAAATGTTAATTGTGAGAGTGTTGTGGAATAACATGTAATTTTACAATCACAATGCAAGTATGCTGACGGGATATTTTAAACCATCTTTGTAATGACTGCTTTTATTTTTCAGATATTTGACGGCAACTCTGAGGGACACCAGGACACCATCATTTATTTCAGCCCATCTATCCCATCCAATGCTGCTTATGTCCGTGTTTATCCTATTGAATATCATGAGCACATCAGCTTATTTGTTCAACTTCTACAAGCCTGTCACCCTAAGGGTAAATTACCTATTCCTTATTTCTCTGTGCCAATTTACCCCTTCATTTATCGCTTGGTACACACGGTGTCTTATCATTTGTAATGTAACTCTTCTTCCTTTTTATTATGATTGCATCCAGAAATTAAAATGTACATATTACTACCCCACTTTTACTGGGTTCTTTTTTAAACAAAGTACATACATTTGAATTAAAGTTGCTTATGAAATTTAGTTTCCAAATGTTAGTGTTTGTATAACGTCGAGAAAAAAACACGAAATTAGCAACAGAAGGAACATAGGAGATGGATGGGAATGTATGTATGTAGCCAACCATGCTAATCAGAGGTGCGGAGTGGAAGGCCGGGTCAAGGGAGGAGAATGGGCAATAGAGAAGAAATTAGCTTTGAGAGAAGAACGATAGGAATTCAAGGAGGATGACTGCTTAATGTACAGGGGAAGTTTATTCCAGCGGAGGAGTGCAAGGAGGGAGAAGGAACAAAAACGAGATTGGGCACAGGTAGGAGGGTCAGCGAGAGACAGAGAAGATTGCGGACAAGAGGGGACATATAAGGGAATGAGAGAGAAAAATTAAGGTGGGGCAAGGCCATGGAGAATAATTTTAAAGGCGAGCGTCGGTTATTTAAAAAGACTGCGATAGTAAACAGGAAGCCAGTGAAGTTGAAGGATCAGAGGCAAAGTGTGAGACTTAAATGAAATATTGAAAATAATCTGCATAGAAGCATTTTGAATAAAGCAATCATGGACCCATCACCACTCTACCTGACTGTAGACAAATATTGTCTATAATATCTGCAATACTCTGATTCACAATACATGCAATTGGCCACAATGTTATTTTTATGTAAATTGTATTCTTAATTAAATGCTTATAATTTGTTCATGTCTCCCCCTCGCCCCTCTTCAGATACATCAACAGCTGTGCCAACAACAACTGGTTTGTAACTATTTGTTAATTCAATTAGGGACTGACTCGTGTGTTATTCGATCCTAACATTTTAGTTTGAACCCATGAACAATTCTTGTGTGCAATAGTGATCTTGGAAACTTCTCCAAATTAATTCATGGACATTAATTGAATGCAAAATCCTGTCGTGAGCTCTTAAAGCCACATTCTTTTTGTTTACAAAGACATGTCTTCACTCAACAAATTTACCAATTCACTCTCAGTAACCGTATTTTAGTTGCTAGCTCACAATTGTGGTCATCGAATGTATCTGATGTGACTCTCCCCTAGGTAAACGCTTGTGAAAAAATTAGTTGTCTAGATGTAGTAACAAGTAACACCAATGCTTGAGAGGCAAGGACAACCCAACATAATTGCCAGCCATGATGGGTTTTCATTACCAGGTTATTTACTCGCAAATGTATCCAGCTTTAATAGAAGACATTTGCTTCTGTTTCTGTTTGTATGATCCATGCAGCTTGTGTAAAGCCAATGGGCATCAAAGAATTCACAGCCACATCCTCAAGGAGTTTGGAAGAAGGGCCCAGCAGTGCCCCCCTGTACTCTGAGCATGCATGGGCTGCTGCTGTTAACAGCGAGTATGATGAATATTTCCACTTACAAATAACATATTACACTTGTCAGTCTTCCATGACAGAAAATTCACTCAAAGAATAATTACACCACAAATGTACTCCTTTATATCAGACAATATAATGGATAATACCTTTGCATACAATTAAGTTAATAATCTAACAAAGACAAACTATTTTCAAAGTAGGTTGACAGATGCAACTAATAATTTAGAGCAAAGTGGACTCCTTATAGTAAGGGTAAAAAAGGCAGGCAGTGGTGGTGCATGCCCGTGACTCAGCACTGTGCAGGGGAGAATAGATGATTCACACAAATGTTGTGAAACTGCCTTCTCATTGACGTCGAGGTACCATACAATGGCGTACCAGGAGAGCACAGTACAGCAAAATGCAGTCTCCACCTGTTCCATCTGTATGGGATAGAGTGCTGCGCCCTCGCATACGTGGGGTTTTTCCTGGGTGCTCCCGTTTCCTCCAACATGTAAACACTCATGAATAGACTGATAACAATAATAATATATAGAGGGCCACAGAGCCTGGCCAGTTGTTAGCTGCCTTCCCGCTTGTCTGTGGTTCCTTGAACCTCGAAATCATTCTCCCTATTCGACAGTGAGTGAATACTGTGGACGTTACAAATGTAAAATATTATGACCATCTTCACCCACTATTTTTCCTGACAGATTCCAGTACCTGGAATTAATACTACCTTCATCGAGAAATATATTTGCCATAACCACACAAGGCAATCCAAATGCTGATGAGTGGGTTGAATCCTACAAAGTCTCTTACAGCAATGATGGTATCAACTGGAATACCATCGCTCAGGTAATGCATAGATAAAAAAAATTGTTCTGTAGTTGCAGCTTTATCTTTGCTCTAAACATAACACTGTTTCAATATCATCAAAAAGTTTGTTGAGTATTTTCCTTTGCATTGCACATCATTCTTTGTGTTCACTAAAGAATACGAATTTGTTCGTGTTAATTGACTTGCTAAATATGCGCAGTTTTTTTAGTTCTTTAAGGACGTTACTTTAAAAAAATGTTTATGCTATGGTTCATGTAAAAGACAACAGCTATGGTTCATCTAAAAAATCAGACACATAACATACACTTAGGGATTGATTAGTTCAGCTATTACTCACCCACTGTTGTTGTTACCCACGGATAAGAATTAAACTTGCAGTATGCGAACCACTCTGCCTCACACCCCATTTCATTTGTGTAATGCCTTAACCATTTGATAGCAGCTTGTATTTCTAATACCTCTGACATCTCTGAAAGTGTAGTGCTTGGAGAAGTACTTTTGGTTGCATGTTTAAATTGCTCAAACAGTTGAGGGACTGTATTGGTAGTGGTGCAAGCCACAAACAAAAACACTCAACACCTTCATAAATAGTACGACAGGACAAGAACAAAATAAATAGCAGTGCTGATGTTTTGGACAACTGTCCTTCAGGTCAAAGAGAGAGGTAATAGAGATTGACTGACTTTTAGTTGGATATTGCTATTCATGCTGAATATATTGAAGGGTTTAATTACAAAATCATCACAATGTTCTTGGTTCTTTCGGTAAAGTCACGTTACCGAAAGAACCAAGAAGATAAATCCCTGCAGTCACGAAAGCTATAAATCGAAATCATCACAATGTTTCCTCAAAATGTTTACACTCATTGGTCGGTAATGAATATGAGATGCATTGCACGACAATAATGCCTCTGGGACAACAATAAAAAACAGGTGTGTTGGTGGTGCTGACCACCGACTCCCTCGTGTGCCATGCCGGCCTTCATAGATGCTCGCTAACATACACACACACGTATCGTAATTTAAAAAACAGTATGGATCACTACATGGAGAATTGCACATACCAACTCTTAAGTTCACATTTGCGTGGCCATATATCTGGATAAGTGAAACATTAACCTTTTGTGTTCGTAATTATTTCAGGTGTTTCCGGGCAACCAGGACAGGAACTCGCTTAAGACAAATTACATAAGTCCTTCAGAGCCTCTGTACATCAGCTATATCCGTATTATCCCTGTTAGTTGGCATAACCACATAAGCTTGCGCGTGGAGGTGCTTGGAGAATGCATCACAGGTTTGTTGTGTTTTTTTCTGTGTGCCTAAACATTTTATTTACTACTAAATCACAGCACTTGGAAAGATTGTTTCGCATGTGCTAACTGCAAACGTTCTTGTTTACAGATACTCCTACGACGACTGGTACGACGACTGGTACCACGACTGGTACGACGACTGGTACGACGACTGGTACTACCTCATCTACCACAAGTAAGAGCACGACTTTTTATATTTCATTGCCCACTTATAAACGTGTTGTTTTGTGCAACATCAAATAATGGCTCGTACAAATGTAAAAATGGTTCGAAGCTTTCGTGACTGCAGGTGTATTTGTCACTGTCATATAAATTGTGTTACGTGTAAGGACATTTGTTACACCACACTCAACATCTATATATCCCACTCATCTTAAGCATCCTATAAATCACATGACTTATGTGTGACCACCCCAACCATACATCTCTCCCCACTGCCCCCCCCCCCCCCCCCGTGAAAACAGACGCTGCTACACCGTGCAGCTCACTTCTGCTCGCTTCTTCTTCCTTCTCTTTCCCTCCCCTCTCATCATCATCACCCTATCATCCCTGACACCTTGGCCCAGTCATTCATTGACTCCCTCTTGCCCTTCCTGCCCACTGCTACCTCATCTTGAGCAGTGCCCTCTTTGTCTGACTTTGGGGACTTCTGTCCCAGCATCCTTTCTCGTCCCTTTCTCTTTTTCCATGCATAATATCATTGACTCTACCCCCCTTCCCGTGTTGTAGCCATGGGTAAAATTTCTGACGTGCCCATTTGCCGGTATATTCCTTCTATGTATCAGATTTTTTTTATGAACATGTAACTCTGTGCAAACGTTTGGCTTCAAATCACGTCTTCGTAAAAAAATTAATATCAGTTATGAGACAAATACATTCGAATAGAATTTGCTATTAAGATGGTTCTTGCCATAATGTATTTAAAGATGATGTCTAAATTCCTGTGAAGTAAGCTATGCTACTTGGTAAAAAAAAAAGATACAATACATTGTAAAAAAATGTTCAAATGTTACAAGGTGCAAATATTATATGACAAAAATGTACATAAACACCATTTGCACTAGAAATGTAGGTTACAATTATATCACATAGATATTGCATTTGAAAATTGCATTTAACATATATGTAAATGTACATATTCACCAAAAACTGTTTAAACACTACCAATAATATTTAAGCTGCTGTGAGCATATTAGACTTGCAATTCAGAGGACCCCTGCTTGATTCCATTTCCCGGCAAAACCATCTGGATAAATGGGTACGTTTCTTAAACCTTACCACCTCTTGTCCACCCAGCAATATAAATGCCTACACAATAGTCGATTGGCAGAAGAGTAGGCTTAAAGCCCACCGGACAAGCATCCCTAGCGCCACCTTTAGTGGAGGTCATTCTACACAGCAGTGGCATGACCAAGACATTGCGCCGGGCTACTTTACTCACGATAAATGTCTGTTATGTCACAGGGCTGTGTCCATCGGGCTCCGAGTGGAGCATGTGCATAACGGCCTGCGAAAAGATGTGCCAGGGCATGCAATACTACTTTGGGCAGTGCCAGCCCCCGCACATGGCTCCCTGTATCCCTGGATGCACAAGTCCAGAATGCGGTCCAGGAGAGCTTAAGGCTGACCTGACCACATGTGTGCAGATACAGGACTGCGTTTGCAGATTGCCCGATGGGACTGTGGTTCCTGTAAGTGACCCAGCGCACAGAGACATAGCATGTAACTGTAACAAATTATTTTCTTTGTCACATGCATCTCATCATCATGTACTGTAAATCCAGTCTTTTATGTGGATAGAAATATATTTTTTGATAAAAAATATAATATATGAAAGTTATATGTTACACTAAAAAGTATGGACCTACTATTGATTTATATTTTTATTTTTTTAATGGACACACAACATTCGTGATTTATATAAATATTAGTGATTGGTTTCCATATCTCCAAAACATTTGTATGTATTGTTTCATTACAGCCTGCTGGGTCTGTGACCACACCAGATGGACAAAGATGCACATGCTTTGGAAATCAACTTATCTGCACACAATCAACAACGTCACCACCTCCAACATCAACATCACCACCACCAACAACGTCACCACCTCCAACATCAACATCACCACCACCAACAACGTCACCACCTCCAACATCAACATCACCAACACCTCCAACATCAACATCACCACCTCCAACATCAACATCACCACCACCTCCAACATCAACATCACCACCACCTCCAACATCAACAACGTCACCACCACCTCCAACATCAACAACGTCACCACCACCTCCAACATCAACAACGTCGCCACCACCTCCAACATCAACAACGTCGCCACCACCTCCAACATCAACAACGCCGCCACCACCTCCAACATCAACAACGCCGCCACCACCTCCAACATCAACAACGTCGCCACCACCTCCAACATCAACAACGCCACCACCACCTCCAACATCAACATCACCACCACCTCCAACATCAACAACGTCACCACCACCTCCAACATCAACAACGCCGCCACCACCTCCAACATCAACAACGTCGCCACCACCTCCAACATCAACAACGCCACCACCACCTCCAACATCAACATCACCACCACCTCCAACATCAACAACGTCACCACCACCTCCAACATCAACAACGTCACCACCACCTCCAACATCAACAACGTCGCCACCACCTCCAACATCAACAACGTCGCCACCACCTCCAACATCAACAACGCCGCCACCACCTCCAACATCAACAACGCCGCCACCACCTCCAACATCAACAACGTCGCCACCACCTCCAACATCAACAACGCCACCACCACCTCCAACATCAACATCACCACCACCTCCAACATCAACAACGTCACCACCACCTCCAACATCAACAACGCCACCACCACCTCCAACATCAACGTCACCACCACCTCCAACATCAACAACGCCACCACCACCTCCAACATCAACGTCACCACCACCTCCAACATCAACATCACCAACACCTCCAACATCAACATCACCACCTCCAACATCAACATCACCACCACCTCCAACATCAACATCACCACCACCTCCAACATCAACAACGTCACCACCACCTCCAACATCAACAACGTCACCACCACCTCCAACATCAACAACGTCGCCACCACCTCCAACATCAACAACGTCGCCACCACCTCCAACATCAACAACGCCGCCACCACCTCCAACATCAACAACGCCGCCACCACCTCCAACATCAACAACGTCGCCACCACCTCCAACATCAACAACGCTACCACCACCTCCAACATCAACATCACCACCACCTCCAACATCAACAACGTCACCACCACCTCCAACATCAACAACGCCACCACCACCTCCAACATCAACGTCACCACCACCTCCAACATCAACAACATCACCACCACCTCCAACATCAACAACGTCACCACCACCTCCAACATCAACAACATCACCACCACCTCCAACATCAACAACGTCACCACCACCTCCAACATCAACAACGCCACCACCACCTCCAACATCAACGTCACCACCACCTCCAACATCAACAACGCCGCCACCACCTCCAACATCAACAACGCCGCCACCACCTCCAACATCAACAACGCCACCACCTCCAACATCAACAACGTCACCACCACCTCCAACATCAACAACGTCACCACCACCTCCAACATCAACAACGTCGCCACCACCTCCAACATCAACAACGTCGCCACCACCTCCAACATCAACAACGCCGCCACCACCTCCAACATCAACAACGCCGCCACCACCTCCAACATCAACAACGTCGCCACCACCTCCAACATCAACAACGCTACCACCACCTCCAACATCAACATCACCACCACCTCCAACATCAACAACGTCACCACCACCTCCAACATCAACAACGCCACCACCACCTCCAACATCAACGTCACCACCACCTCCAACATCAACAACATCACCACCACCTCCAACATCAACAACGTCACCACCACCTCCAACATCAACAACATCACCACCACCTCCAACATCAACAACGTCACCACCACCTCCAACATCAACAACGCCACCACCACCTCCAACATCAACGTCACCACCACCTCCAACATCAACAACGCCGCCACCACCTCCAACATCAACAACGCCGCCACCACCTCCAACATCAACAACGCCACCACCACCTCCAACATCAACAACGCCACCACCTTCAACATCAACACCACCACCTCCACCAAGTGAAAAATGTCCAAACATGACTGTAGATCTTGACAACAGCACCTGTTCAAGCTGTCTCGAAGGACTTTACTGCTACAAGGGAGCCTGCGTGCCTTCATACGACTGTCCGTGTGTAGTAAATGGTGCTGTATATGAGCACGGAAGTATTTGGAACGAGTTGTGCAAAACATGCATGTGCATAGATGGAAACGTTGAATGCATAATGAAAACATGTCCCGTTACAAGTCAGGAAGGATGCCCGGTTGGTGAATATTACGTATTGAAAGCGGACAGTTGCTGTGGAGATTGTATACCTTGCTGCAATAACTCTCAGTTTAACTGCCACTCGAGCGGATGTCAATGCATCCCAAATTCCTGGGTGTGCGACGGCACCGATGACTGCACAGGAGGAGAAGACGAGGACAACTGTGTCACTTCGACCTTGGTCTACTCAACTAGTCCACCAGTAACCACCACGGGAGAAATCACAACCATCATAATCACAACACCTCAGCCCACAACCTACACAACCGAACACACTTTCAGTACAAGTCAACCACCGGTTGGAACGACGACAAGGTGGTCCACAACCACTTCACCGCCAGAGGGCTGCATTTACATGGGCGTTTTCTATCCCGTTAATGGTTCCTGGCCAAGTGGTGTCAATGGATGCGGACGATGCTACTGTCGTTCACAGGACACGGTCAAGTGTGACTATTCAAACTGCGAGCAGACGTGCATTGCTGCAAGTGACCAGCTGAAAATGTTCGATGATCAGCAGTACCAAATCGACTACTGTTCTCATGTATTGGCAAAGGACTGTGCAAATAGCACCTTTGAAATAGTATACGTGCTCAAGTGCAGTGGCGATGGAAATAACTGCACTGGAGCGGTTCACATTGCAACAAGTGATACTGTCCTCGTGTTGGAGTCAATCAATTATGTAATTGTTAATGATATCAGCTATACAGCGGCACAAATTCAAATTGGCCTGCACATAAATGCCATAAATATTTCTTATGTCACTGACAGTCAGATACTCGTGTCATCCAGTCTTGGTTTCAAAGTAATATGGAAGAATGGATATGAAACGCAAGTTGTGGTCGACGAAAGTCTGAAGGGACGTGTCTGTGGGCTTTGTGGAAATGCCAATGGCAACAAAATGGACGACTTTGTCTTCAAGAACGGCACTGCAGCAGCAAACATAAGTGACTTTATAAAGAGCTGGGAGGTTGGTACAAATCTGTGCACCAAACCTAATACAACGTGCTTGGATTCCAAGGAGGCAATTGAAATTTGCAAAGCCATCTTTTCACCAGTATTCTTAGAATGTCAGGGTTGGGTGGATCCAAACTTATATTATAACCTTTGCCTCACGGACGTCTGCAAATGCATTGACGCAAATGCATCCATCTCCGCTGCCAGCCAATGCAAATGCCCATCATTTGCCTCCTACACCCAGCAATGTATGAACCAGGGCAAGTGCATTAATTGGCGTGTCCCTGTCAACTGTCCAGTCAACTGCAATAACAACATGGTGTACAAGGAGTGTGCCTCCGGTTGTCCAAAGACATGCACTAACATCAACGGCCAGCCACAAAACAATTGTGCTATACCACTCACATCTGGTTGCATGTGTCCCGACGACAAAGTGTGGGACGGCCATTCTTGTGTCGGAATTGACTCTTGCAATCCGTGCGTATGTACTGGCTATGGCGATCCTCACTACATAACATTCGATGGAAAATATTATCCATTCATGGGGAATTGTTCATATGTGCTTGTGAATGACACCCTATCTAATGACCTCCTTATATACGCCACAAATGAGTACTGTACTGCGTCTACGACAATGACATGTACTAAATCGGTGACAGTGCTCTACAAAGGCAACAAAGTTACTTTGCTACTTAACAAGTACATAAACGCCAACGGCGCTTTACTAAAGCTCCCACCTTCAAGGGTAATAGGTAGCGTCATCTTTGTACAGCTTGTTGGTCTGATTGAAGTATTAACCATCCCTGAGATTGGTCTGAAGCTAACATTCACACCGAGTAATATGGCCTTCCGAATTGAACTACCCCCATCAATTTGGTGGAACAGAACTGAAGGGTTGTGTGGCAGCTGTGATGGCAATCCAAGAGACGACTTCATTACCAACAATGGCAGTCTAGTGAAAGACAGTGACGAGTTTGGATACAGCTGGGAAATTTCACCGGACAACAAGACAATTTGCTACCCACAACAACCTCATATATGTAATACTACTGACTGCTGTGTCAACGGAGCTCCAGTCAACGTCTGCGATGTCATTTACACCACAGCTTTCAAGGCCTGCCACCCATTAGTGAATCCAGATGTGTACTACAACTCCTGCAGATTTGATGTTTGTAAGCTTGGTGGAAACCAGTCAGCATGTGCTTCATTAGAAGAGTATTCCAAGGAGTGCCTAAAGGTTGGCATTTGTATCAATTGGAGGAACTCTTCACTTTGCCCATACGAATGCCCAGCTCCATACCAATACCGACCATGTGCCCCAACTTGTCCAAAGACCTGTGATAACTACGAAAACTATCAACCTTCAACTTGTGATAGAATTGAGGGCTGTATGTGTCCAGATGATTACGTATATTACAACGACACATGCATAGCACCTTCAAGGTGTCCAAAATGCATTGGCAATGACGGCACAGCATACGCGCCAGGTGACAAGTGGTATCCTGATGGCAACAAATGCACTGAGTGTGAGTGCAGCACAATGGTTCCTGGTGGCTCATATACTGCACTTTGCAAAGCATACAGTTGCCTTTTTGAAAATGTCACTTGTGCAGATGGCCAGAAGAAGCACAGTGTATTGGACAGCAATGGTTGCTGCATGACAGACATCTGCCTACCCTGCGAAGACAGCGACTGCATAAACCCACCGCCCATACCCACATGTGACGTTGGCGAGGAGCTTGTCCTGCAAGAAGTAAAGGAATGCTGCAAGAAATACAAGTGTCAGTGCGTACCATCCTCGTGCCAAAATGAAGTACCCGTGTGCATTGCTGACTACGTCCTCAACGTGATTAACCCATCAGCTTGCTGCAAGATCTACAACTGTGTATGCCCTGAAGTTTGTTCCAACAGCTCACAGCCTCCAACAGATATCCCATTCGGCTACAAAGTCATCAACATAAATGAAGGTGGATGCTGCCCTGTCTATCGCATCGTCTGCGACAAAGAGATATGCAAGAGTGTACCTCCACCCGTGTGTATTGCTCCTAAAATTCTTCATGTCACGGTTGAGCCTTGCTGCAACAAGACTGAGTGTGTTTGCCCTTCATGCGACGATGTGGTTGTTCCAGTGTGTGGACAATACGAGGTGCTGCAGACCACTCCAGGGCCATGCTGCAATTCTTATTCATGCATCTGCGATTCCAGCAAGTGTCCAGTGTATAATATCAGTTGCCAATTAGTCAACCAGATGGTGGTGGCTGGTGAGGTAGTGCCATGCTGTGGGCCAATTCCGGTATGCCAATGTAAACCTTCGTGCGCACCATCGCATTGTCCTGAAGATTATTTGTCCGTCGTCACAGGGCAAGACGCCTGTAATTGTTCAATTTACGAGTGCCGTCCACGGCAATGCCTTTTCGATGGCCAGATTTATCCTGTTGACAGCACATGGGGAGTGGATGTATGCACAGTATGCTTCTGTGAAGAGGTTGATCAAAACTTCAGAATACGCTGTGAAGTGGAGAGCTGCGCACCATGTGGTCTGGTAAGTTGTGCATGATCTCAAAACATTTATTTAATAACGTTCATTGATTTGCACACGTGTTCTTCTACCTTTTCAAAAATATATATTCACTACCTCCTGCTTCATTTATATTTAAAGTCTTCGTCACCTTTTTTATGAGCATAATTCATTTCTTACTTGTGTTAAGTTTACATACTCTCAAACAATTATGCAGCTCCTGAAATTTACATTGTGATGTGTCATTATTTTACCAGGGACTTGCAAACTCACCTATTGCTGGCACCTGCTGTGGAGAATGTGTGGAGGTGAACTGCACCACTTATGACAATGGTGTCATCAAGATGTATCAGGTAAGATGTGCAGAGTAAACATTTACAATGTAAAGTTTTTAATATAATTAATAAAGCACTTCCAAAAGGATGTAGAGTACACAAAATAAGCATGTGCCTTTGTATCTAGGTAGGTGTATGATATATTTTTCTGGAAGTCCTGTAGACCGATGGACTGGACACATTTTAGGCGGATTATATTTTTTCTCTTATTTACGTAACGTATCTATATATAGGCTCTTTAATATAAATGAATCATTGCTCATTATTTATACAAAACCAAATAAAGCAAATGCTTGTGAGCAGATTGAAATGAGAAACAGCATAGGTTTCCAATCCTTCTGATCAATCTCTCATTGGGCTAAATTATTTGTTTTGGTATTTGTCCACAAAGAAAATGTAATATCTTTAAATAAACTAAATAGGGAATCATATAACACTAAACTTAAGTGGGCTAGTTTAAAATTTCCCACAGGTACAACAAATATCAGTGTATGAAATGTTTCACACAATGAGCCAACCAAGAAAAACACCCACTTGTATTCCACGCACTTTCAACAACATAGAACATTTCACATTGATTTTAAGTTTACAGGCCAAAAAACTAAAACTATCAATATTCAACAAAAAAGCGACACATTGCAACTGCATGACAGTGTTATTGGGTTTTTTTAATCAATGTGCTCATTTACCTCCTTCAGCCTGGCGAGCAATGGAATCCGGATTTCGAGTCGTGCACAACCTGCATTTGCGTGGAGTCTTTGGGGCAAGTGTCTGAGGTCTGCAACACCATCCGCTGTGATCCTGTCCCCGACGACTGCAAGCCGGTAAGTGCCTTCACGATAGCACCATCAGTAGCAGTCATGCCAAAAACATGCTCGTTCCAGGAATACGAACCACGATACCTTGCCGATCTCAAGGAGCATATACCATCACGCAAACTCTGGTGATCCCTGCAGCGGCTTATGGCTAACCATCGAACAAAGATGGTCACTGCATTGCGCGATTTCAGATTCGCTTCCGATATTCAGAGGTGGGACAAAGTCATTGTTATGCAAGTCCAAGTCGAGTTGCAAGTCTTTGTACATTTTGCCGAGTCGAGTCTGAAGTCATCAAATTCATGACTCGAGTCTGACTCGAGTCCAAGTCACATGACTCGAGTCCACACCTCAGAGGTGGGACAAAGTCATTGTTATGCAAGTCCAAGTCGAGTTGCAAGTCTTTGTACATTTTGCCGAGTCGAGTCTGAAGTCATCAAATTCATGACTCGAGTCTGACTCGAGTCCAAGTCACATGACTCGAGTCCACACCTCTGCCGATATTAGGAAGCCACTGGAGCTGTGCATTTTCAAATCGAGATTGAAAACGTATTTCTTTAGAAATTATTTTTGTTTTTAGTGTTTAGTTTGTTGTCCTTCCTCTGTACCTCTGATTAGCACATCTGGCTACGTCCAGTGCGAAATAAGTTCAACATACATACCTCATATTATCTGTATTGTGTATAGTATATAAATTATGTATTCTGTACGTAACGCTCAACATATAGTACTTCAGCATACAATGTATAGATATGCCACATTTATTTTTTTACAAAAGCCTTTCATTAATTATCAAAATGTCACAATGCAGGACCCTCCTCCCAAAAGTCTTCAGATACGGTAATGTGGATAAAGGGTAGGTTAGAACTTTTAAAAATATTAAAGAGAACACAATTAATAACAGCAATTTACATTACAGGAGAACATTGTTCAAGATGGATGCTGCCTGAAATGTCTCACATACAACGAGCCAAGTAAGATAATCACCCACTTATATTCCACGCACTTTCAACAACACAAAGTATATCATCCCCTGAGATAAGACGCTTGAGAATGTTTTATGGTGTAGAACCAATTTAATATATACCAAGACATTGGTGGATATCTTTATGATCCATATGCCCTCTGTAACAATCACTCATTCCTCGGCCCTTGCCATCTTGCCATCTAAATCATACTATTTTTGTACTGCTTTAAAGCTATGTAAAGTACTTTGAGCTAAAGTGCTCTATAAATATAAAATAAGAGTCAATTCCCTAAGACAAATTTAAATTACGAATGTTTTTTGTAATGTGCTATTTTTCCCTATGTACAAACATGTCCAACAAACTCGTCAAAACTATGCATTTGCATTTAAATCCTGTGTGCACTATTCACGCGTATAAAGCATAGGCTAATTAACACCAAGAAGTTTCCGAAAACACTGATAGCCACATCGTTCTAATGTCTGTTCTCTCCCAAAAATTCCAGACATGACGTGTCAACCTGTTCTGGTAAACGGCAAGAGCACGGCAATCAGCGCCGAAGGCTGCATTAGCCACGAGTTCGTGGACGTGATGGAGTGCGCGGGTACCTGCTCGGCCACCACCCTCTACTCTGCCGAGACTGACACTTTCGACCGCCGCTGCGGTTGCTGCGCTCCTGCCCTGACAGAGAAGCGCACGGTGCAGCTCTTCTGTCCCAATGGCAGCCAAAAGACGCACAGTTACACTTATGTGCAGTCGTGCTCCTGCCAATACAGCCAATGCCCCGAGTGAAAACAGAAAGTGTGACCCAACCGAACGGACTAAACGGACCGACCACAGACCTGATATTAGTGTGTCACATGTATGTAGTGTCAACGCTAATAAAATATTAGATGAATTTTAAATAGTAAAATGACAGTTTTAAGTCCACGTAGATGTATTGATATAAAACAGTTGCACGTCATTACAAATGTTGCTTTTAGTGTAATTGTATGTAGTGTTCCAAATTACCAAAAATAAACGATATCCAGCATTGTTGCAACAGAATACCTGACTCTTGAATGTTTATTGTCTATGTGTTCACTCTTAATTACATATTATAAACGCCACGCGAAAAGATGAGAAAACATTTTAAGACGCGGCAGAGAAAACATGATGAATATAGCACTGCAAGACATCAGGGGCTAAACACAGGATTATCTGTCATTCGTCAAAAGCTTAGGCCCTCTGACAAAGGAGATATAAGCTGAGAGTTTCAGCTCCTGACTAATGACAGAGAAGACTGTGTTTGGCCCGTCAGAAATGTGTACAGCAAACTTTTCCCGTCTTTTCTCACCTCAGGCCAGCGTTTCCCACTGCAGAGGTATTTTGCACTATTTTCATAACACTAAAATATGTAGTAGAATGATTTATGCATTCAAGGGGAGATTAAAAAATACCATTGTCTCCTTGATAACATGTTTTAAAAACATGTTATTTTTTTGTTTCAATGCATATACCCTTTATTTCTGATCAATTGGAGCATGGAAATTGGTCATAATTACATTTAGATGGCTTTTATAACTCTTTGTCAATTCACTGCTGGATAAACACCTCCGCACACCATGTCAGTCATAGGGGTTGTTTGATAATACGTCACCCACTAGTCAGCACAGGTTGGTGAAAGGGAGCCCAGGATAGGTTCATATATCACTTATTATTGATGTTAATAGTCGTCGGGATTTCAACTTAGGTTGTTGGATGCATACCAGAGTGCACTAACTCCAAATCAAACTTAAAAATGCAATGGAGGTATTTGCCTTCGTAGGGTTTCAGGCAAAACGGTCAAATCAGAGTTGTTTCCTCAAAGCCAAAATTATCTCGGAAATATCTCCACATCCCAAATAGTTAAATTAGACTTAAGAAGATTTGCACATTCACAGAGCTGTTAAAACAGCGATGGTTCTAATATGTACCATACCATTTAAGAATCAACATACCACAGTCGTTTCATAGTGAAATGTTTGACACAACAAAGCACTGTTTTAAAGGTACACCTTTTTTATCTAAAGCCTTTATGCTGGTTTTACAAAAGTATTAATACCGCACAGCTAGTATATGACGACACCAAAGTTATATTGGGTGAGAATCTTGGCACTGGAATATTCCACATGGTTGAGTAATTATGTTCTTGATCATGGAAACAAAAGGCAACGATGTTACGCCTCATTAGATATAAGACTTCAGCTTTCACCATGATTATAACCATGATTATATAATCATGATTATAAGCATGGTGAAAGTAAGGCTTGGAACAGCCTTGTCACAGTGATTCATGGCTTCCTGGGCAATCACAAGGTCGAAAACTATGTGGAGCTTTATTATTTGGTTCTTTCGGTTAAGTCACGTCTAAAGGTAAAATAATAAATTAAATAATAGTATATTACGACGTTTCGATTGCAACACAAGCAATGATCATCAGGTATAATGAAATTGGTGATATCTGTCTACTAATATGTCTGTCTATAGTTTTCTGCTTAGATTTTATGTCGCTATTTCATTATACCTGATGATGATTGCTTGTGTTGCAATCGAAATGTCGTAATATACTATTATTTAATTTATTATTTTACCTTTAGACGTGACTTAACCGAAAGAACCAAATAAGAATTCCCGCAGTCACGAAAGTTCTAAAATTAAGATTATGTGGAGCTTGTAAATAAGGTGTCAGTTTTGTTGCCAGATAAAAAGGTAAAAAACCAATTATCATATGTGGAGCTGGTTGAGACTCTAGTGAAGGACTACGGCACAATGGGCTGTAGGATGTCCCTCAAAGTCCATATCCTTGATGCTCATCTTGATCAATTCAAGAAGAACATGGAAGCGTACTCAGAGGAGCAAGGCGAGCATTTCCACCAGGATATACTGGACTTTGAACGCCACTACCAAGGACAGTATAACGAGAACATGATGGGAGACATTTGGGGGCTGATTTGTGAAAGCGATTTACAGTATAATCGTAAATCTGGAAAAACTACTCACTTCTAAATCTTTTGCAGTCATTTTTGTATTACTTTAAGTATAAATACATGTGAATTTTTATTCATGTTGTTTTTTTCTGACTTTATGTGAACGAAAACACACAAATTTGCCCGTTTTCTCATTGAAAATAGGTCAATTTCAAAATATCACTGTCCTGGTCACAAAAGCAAAGTTTGTGGGGAATAATAGCCATTTTCTATACTTTTTAGGCATAAGCAATTACAAAATAACACTACCCAGGAACACAAATTGTGTTACATAGTGTTATTAAGCGCCCGGAGCTTATTGTGCTAAAACAGTTTTTTTGAAAGATACCTATATGAAAACGATTTCTAACTACAACACCACATTTCAAAGAACATTTTTTCATTCAAAAATTTGACAAAAAAATACGTTGTGAATAAGAAAACAAACATGGTCTTTCAACTAACAAAATGGCGTAATTTTGCATTCAGTTGTTTTTCTTTGGAAAGTAATTCTCCACTATGCTTCTTAAAGGCTTCAAACTCCTGTAGAAATAAGGATAAATGTTGCACATGAGTCACATTTTCTAATGTTGTCTTAATCAAGTACAACATTCCAACACCAAGTTAACCAAACAAGTCTAGAGTAACTGATTAAAAATAACAATCTGAATTCAATATTAGTAACGGATATTGCATTATAGAAATGCATTGACAGTGTTCTGAATTTGTCAAATACCAAGGCATCTAATTTAAAAAAAGCTGAGATTTGGCAAGAACAGCATACCTTTTGCAGTCTGTCAAACGCCTGTGCAGAGTTGTCCAGCTTCCCCCTCAATGCCCTCACCTGCAGTTCAGCATTCACCGCCTCCACATCCCGCTCAAACCTACCACCACGTGACCAATGGCTTTCACTGCGATGACATCTCTTTCCAGTTCCTAACACGAACCAAAACTAAGAACGGTCAAACCAAATGCACTGTCCCTAAGCTCTAACAAACGTAGGGTGGTGCTCAACTATACAGGCAGGCCAGAGTCGGTGGTGGAAATGGCACATTACTATGGCAGGGAGTGACAATTCAAAGGAAAACTATAGATTTTAAAAGCTGAAGTTTAGCTCACATATGTTTGAAATCAAGGATACAGAATTTTAATGGAAAACTACATGTGTTTATAAAGTCTTCCCCATCCACATATGTTGGACTAGCAATAAAATGTAATTGCTCTTGACAAACCACAGCTTTACAGTGTTGTATGTACGTACCCACCTTTTCTCTGCAGACCTCCTTGCATCCTCCGATTTCCTCAGCTTATGCTCGAGCAGCTGTATGTCCTTCTGTCTTTCCTGCATTGAGTCAATATTTGTCACAGTGTATTTGACACCAAATTGGAGTGGGAAAGAATTAGCTCTCCGACGTTGTATTGACATGATGTCAGGGAGTTTCAATTCAGATCGCAGCCCGAAACATCAAACTTAATGCTAAGCAACAGGTGGTATACCCCAAAACATATCTCAGTGCCATATAGCACAACTGCGAAAACCTATGAAGTCGTGTGAATACATTTTTAACACAACAAAATCCCACGAATGGGAGTGAACGGATGCTTGGGAACTTGACAGTGAATGGAATCAGGGAAAAGTGTGGCACTGTGTTTGAACATATACCCTGCAAGTGATCTTCCAATCTACAAAATAAAGGCTCTATCCACGTCGCTGCTGGGCATTATTAGTCAAGGCCCACTGCTTGTACAATCTAAAGGAGACATTAATTTGCATTCATGCTTCCCTCATCACTTTCTTTACCACACCCAAGAGGATGTCTACCACGAAGATGGAGTGATCACATCAGCTCCTGTGAAAATGCTGCATGGATTGTTGCATGACCACGATAGGTGGCGGAGATTTGGGAAGGCCTTCATCTCATAGTAGATGGATCACAGGTGATGATCATTATGATGAATTGCACGCAAACCTGCAAGAGTCGGCCTCTCTGCATTGTAAGCTCTAACAGTTCCTGTTTTTCCCGAGCCAGGTCGTCCACCTGTTTCTTCAAGCTCTTTTGCTCGGCTGCCCACCCACTTTTCTCAGCCAGTGTAAGAGCCTCAGTCTCTAGGGACCCAAAGCCACACAACAGTAAACAAATGGAGTATATTATATACATAAGAATTATAATCACAATTGATGCACGTTCCACAAAAGCAAAAATACACTTCCTATACCACTGAAAGCACCCTTGTTATAATTTTGATGACAGAAATTTCAAAATAAGCGACGTCTAGCTAAATTAAAATTCGTGCTTTACAACACTGGTTATTATGTTATGAAATGCATTACCAGCAATTTTTGTCTCCAATTCTTTCAGCTTCTTTTTTAGAGATTCTGTCTCTTGTGCATGTGTTTTTTCAACATATTCCAAGCGGATTTTAAATTCATTTTCCTTTTCATAATAATTCTTTGTCTTCTGACTGAAACACATCACAGACACCACTCAAAAATGCATTAAACTGACAAATAATGATATTATACAGGTTCTAACAAAAAACACATATCCAGTTTTTCAATTCAAAGAGCTCTCACCTAACATCAAACAATACTGTAGTTTCATTCATGTATGTACTACACCATTTAAGTACGCTAAGACTTGATATCCAGTCATTGTTATGCTATTGTACACCTTTCAACCTTAAAATCCAACACCAGTGTAAAATCCACATCAAAAAGTGACCTCATGTGTTACCTCTTAAGAGTGCCCTTTGATTCAGAAAATAGGGAATAAAGTAAAACCCCTCTTAACGACCACTCCTGTTACTCTTAATGACCACTCCTGTTAACGACTAATCGCTTAACGGGCCTCCATAGAGCCCAATGTGTAGTGTATAGTGTAGTGTATAGTAGTGTATCACAGTGTATAGTAGTGTAGTGTACAGTAATGTAGAATAGAACCCCTCTTAACGACCACTCCTGTTAACGACAGGCTGTTGTAGGTACAGTAAATATTAATTAATGCATTGATAACCATGTTTCTTTTAATGTGTTTATAATGTTAACAGTATCTGTATGTATTCATATCCATTGTTTAAAAAAAATTACCTTAGATGAAAAGGAGTAACTTTCGATGCTATCGGAACGAATTAACTCTTTAATATGTATTTCCTATACTCGCTTAACGACCAGTTATGTGGAACCAATTACCTTCGTTAAGAGGGGTTCTACTGTATATTAGGGGTGGGAAGATTTACCACACGCAGTGATTCCAAGAATAATCGTGATTCAAACATCGATTCTTTTTTAACACCGCGGTGAATGCTAACACCTCTAGTGGCTGATGTCAAACCATTACATACAATCCATACAAATAAAAAAAATGTATTCTTACATGTGCGATTTGACGTATCGAATCAATGAAAAATCAATTGATCAATGGTATCATGCCAGCCCTAGGGTATATAATATGAATAGACATGTATGTGGAATGGGCTTACAGAAGCAGGGCAGCAGCACAACATTCTACAAGATGGGTTACACATTTTCTAAAGTGCAGATTCAGCACTTTAAAAGCTTTCAAGCCTTTCCACCTGCATAGTTGTTCCTGTTCAGAGCACTCTGTCTGCAAGGCTTGCAAATCCTGTGCGAGTTTAGTGATGATCGTGTCTCTTTCCTCAATGGAAGCAGAAAAAAGATCCTCATTTTCACGTCTCAACCGTGCATTCTCTTCCCGCAGATCCACGTTCTGCTTCTTGTGTTCATCCTGTTCGAGGTTACAAGTTGTTGTTTTTTTAACTCCGGTAAACGTAATGACGAAGAAATGTTATCCTATCAAACACTAGGAATTTGATTTGTTCATACAGGAATAGCTGTTGAATTTTCAAACGACTGAAAATATATTTATAAATGCAATCAACAATTACAGTATATATAGCTTTAGAGTACAATATCACTATCCTTGTTCCAGTAATATGTAATGCTGAACACACCTTGAATGTGATCATTTCCTGGTGGTTGGAGGCCAGCTCCATGAAGCGTTGCTCTAGCAGGCTGCAACGCTTGTCTGACACGTCCCTTTCTCTCTCCAGCTCACTACTTCTGCACTCTAGGACCTGGCCGAACATGGGGTACATATACAATGTTATTCGCAAGCATACATAGTGAAATTTATATCAGCTGCTGTTTGCAGAGTTTCACATTTATTGTCTCATACATTAATGCTAAGCTCTAGGAGCTAATAGTCCCGGTGAGATGTGAAAAGAACACATGAATAGCAGACACCAATGATATGTAATACACAGTGAACATCAAATTTAATAAAACTGGGAGGTACATTTCTTAATCGAATTAGCATTTATTGAACATTCAGTTACAAATCATGGAAATAACATATTACCTATCTTGGATGGTGGTCAGAGGTCGCAACCGGGTACCCGATACCTGTACCCTACCCGATACCCGGCTACCCGTACCTGTCCGGGTACGGGTAGCCGTTTGCGACCCTGGTGCGGCCGGGTACAGGTAAGGAATCAAAACCCGTTTGCGACCTCTGATGCTGGTATAATGTATGATCAGTACCAAAAGCCAAAAACCTATATATTCCATGTCCAGTATTGCCATCTGGTTGTTTTTTTTTTCCACAGTAGCTCTTGCCCATTCTGCACCAGGACATCCAACTTGGGTATTCAGGAGGTTAAAATATTTACAGCTTAAGACATTACGGGTAATGCTATAAATATGGCCATGACGTGCCAATTAATATTTGGCATTCATAAAAAAATATTCCATTTAAAAAAAAGGGTTGAGGTTCAACACTAAACTATCAATCCTAAAACTCAGACACATAAGCAAAGAAACCAGACAATAGAAGGCTGCAAAATTACCTGACATCGGGCTAAGGTATCATCGGCACGACGCTTGAGGATAGAGATGAGGTGAGACTGCTCCTCAATCCTTGACCGGAGTAGGGCACACTGCTCTCCATCTTCCTGTGGTCCCCGATGAAGCTGCATCAGCGGAGGAGCCACTGCAGCCAAGGACGAGGAGGCAGGCATCTGCTGCAGCTCCAGAAACAACAGCTGCCAGTTCACGATGATGCATATGCAGCATGTTGAAGTGCATACTCTTAGGTTTTTCGGTAAAGTCACGTAGGTAAAAAATAAAAAGTTATAGAAATAAAAGAATAAATATATTTATATTTTTTATTTTATTTATTTTTTACCTACGTGACTTTACCGAAAAACCTAAGAGTATGAATCCTTGCAGTCACGAAAGCTTAAAATCTAGAATTATGTTGAAGTGCATTTGTACACTTTCATCCAAAAATGGACTAAAACATTTTCAACACATCATAATCAAAGAGCACTCTGCTAATGGTCAATATAAAAAAACTCAGTATACTATATTTCAGATGAGATATAAGCATTAACCTTTAACAATATATCTGAACATTTATTCGAAAAAAAATTCTTGCGCTCACAAGGCAGTTCTTGAATATGCATGAGAATCGATTATCGACAAATTCGACTCGCCACGTGCTATGAATGATCTTGGCTCTTACACCGCCTCTCTCGTGTAGTGTTGTGTGTGTGTTTGTTGTATTCCTTACAGGTAAGCAACTTGTAAGGGTGCTGAAGTGTAACTGACCGGGCGGCTGACGCTGCCTCCCTGTTCACTCTCGGCGCTCCCTTCGCCACATCGCGGGGACGCCATGGGGCGTGGTGTGTTGTGTTGTGGGGGTGGTGTGTGGTGTGGTGGTGTGTTGTGTGTGGTGTGTGGGGGTGGTGTGTGTGGTGTTGTGGGGGTGGTGTGTGTGGTGGTGTTGTGTTGTGTGTGGTGGTGTTGTGTTGTGTGTGGTGTGTGGGGGTGGTGTGTGTGGTGTGTGGGGGTGTTGTGTATGGTGTGGTGTGATGTGTGGTGGTGTTGTGTGTGGGTGTGTTGTGTGTGGTGTTGTGTGTGGTGTGGTGTGTTGTGGTGTTGTGTGTTGTGGTGTGTGGGGGTGGTGGGGTGGTGTATTGTGGTGTTGTGTGGTGGTGTTGTGTGTGGGGGTGGTGTGTGTGGTGTGGTGTCGTGTGTGGTGTGTGTTGTTGTGTGGGGGTGTTGTGTGGTGGTGTTGTGTGGTAGTTGGGTGGCGGTGGTGTTTGGTGTTGTGGTGGGGTGTGTGGGGGTGTTGTTGTGTGGGGGTGTTGTGGTGGTGTCGTTGTAGTGTGCTATGTGGTTTTGTTGGTGTGTGGCGTGGTGTGTGGTGTTGTTGTGGTGTGGTGGTGTTGTGAGTGGTGTTGTGTTGTGTGTGGAATGGTGTGTGTTGTTGTTGTGTGTGGCGTGCCGTGGGTTGTGGCGTGACCGCCGCAGCCCTCTGCGTATCCACTTCACATCACCGACGGGCGGCGCGCGACAGGGAACGCTTTTGCCACCAAGGCAACGAGGGGCGGGCAGCGACCACTGGGTGCCACGTCGGGGGAGACACGTTCACAAAGCCCAGGGAGAGACTCCCCCCCCCCTGCCACCACCACCACCAATCACTCGCCTCCCACTCATGCTTGCGTTGCTCTGGAGAACCCGGTAGATCGGCATTCGATCGATGTTCGATCGGCGTTCGATCGATCGGCGTTCGATCGATCGGCGTTCGATCGATCGGCGTTCGATCGGCGTTCGATCGGCGTTCGATCGATCGCCGTTCGATCGATCGCCGTTCGATCGATCGCCGTTCGATCGATCGCCGTTCGATCGATCGGCGTTCGAATGATCGGCGTTTGATCGATCGGCGTACGATCGATCGGCATACGATCGATCGGCGTTCCATCGATCGCAGATTGAAGCTCGGAGAGCTGAATGAATTCAAAAGAACTCGCAAACGCCTTTTCGTCAAAGACCTTCGACGTGGAAAGATGCTCTGGTGTTTGTTTTTGCTCTTCCACAAAGCTCAAGGTCCAAACTCTGAAACGCATCCACTGCACACACCGTGGCAGCAGCGGATACCCTGATAATGCACAAATTGAAGATAAGAAAAACACTCTCCAGTCGTAATATGCGACTTTGGCCATCCAGAACAAACCGTAACAAAGCAATGCCCCCGATCCACAAACACGGAGACACCGCAGCGATACAAATCCCATACCTGTCAACTCCTTATCAGCGCCCTACCTCCTGACAGATCAATTCAGGACCTTCTTGGTCACCCCGTGCCTTTATAAATCTCAATTTTAATCCTACAAAGTCCCATCACAAGGGAGAAACACAAATAAATAGACCCAAAATCATGTTTGTTGCCTGTATCGACAGACCTGTTCTCCACCTGAAGACGGCTGCTTGCGTTGTGGCCGAAACGTCGTGAGAATTATTTTATTATGTTTTATTTTTATTATTTTTTTACTTTCCTTCTACGTGACTTTACCGAAAGAACCAAGAAGATGAATCCCTGCAGTCACGAAAGCTTTAAATCGAAACACACCGATGTTGCTGTACTAGTGACGAATTGGCCACGTTCTGTTTACGTGACAACCCTTACTAATTGGCTGTGCCGGGTGGTGGCGGGTTTAACGACACATTTATATATACTAGATTTTAAGCTTTCGTGACTGCAAGAATTCATATTCTTAGGTGTTTTCGGCAAAGTCACGTAGGTAAAACATTAAAATTAATAAAAGTAAAATAAAATAAAAATCACGACGTTTCGGAGGCAACACAAGTCTCCGTCATCAATCTGGCTGTGACGGTCCCACCTGATGACGGAGACTTGTGTTGCCTCCGAAACGTCGTGATTTTTATTTTATTTTACTTTTATTAATTTTAATGTTTTACCTACGTGACTTTTGCCGAAAACACCTAAGAACATTTATATATTTACACGATCTACTTAAAAAAAAACTCTATTATGGATGATATTGGTCGCGAAAGCCTACGTGTCAAATCCTTGTGCAGCAATTAATTTCTATTACCCCAATATATGTATCTCGTATCGGTGTTTGTTAATGTCTATTGCTTTTAACGTAGGTGGGGTGACTCCCCCACCAATCACACGCCACGTGGACTGAGGGGTGGGGCGGTGGGGTGGGGGCCGGAAGTGGGGGCGGGGGGTGAGGGTGGGGTCGGAGGTCGAGGTAGGGGACAGGGGGGTGGAGGCGAAGGTGGGGGGCGGGGTCGGAGGTCGAGGTAGGGGGTGGGGGTCAGAGGTCGCGATGGGGGCGGGGGGGGGTGAAGGTGGGGGGAGGGGGCCTGAGGGTGGGGTGGGGGCGGGGGGGGGCGGAGGTCGGGGTGGGGTCAGGGGGGTGAGAGTGAGGGGCGGGGGCCTGAGGGTGGGGGCGGGGCGGGGTGGGGGCGGGTGGCTGTTGCTAGGCGACGTGACGACTCTGGGTCTGGCGTGTTGAGTCTCAGGGTGAAGTTGTGGAGGCTGATAACAAAGCAGAGGAAGTTAATTTTATTCGCACAACTTCACACGCTCGGTTTAACCCTCCCCCCTATCGAATGAACCGCACAGTTGGCGTCGTGGAGTTGGGTCACCGCTCGAAAATTTCACAAACCTTGCTTTTTTTACCCCTTTACCACTCCTTCGGTTGAGTTATTTCATGAATGCAGTACAGTTTATATATACGGTACGGTATATACAGGGTATAAATACGGTGGACGTACACATTTTGTCAATCCACTGGAGGATGACGGCCTCCCCACGCCTGTATTAGTCTTCAGAGTGATTGCACCATACTTCACCACGCACCACAGTTTATTGGGTTTATGAAGACCTGGGAGCATATAAGTGCAATACAACTGCACCCCCCCCCTCCCTCTGCCTTCTACCACATAGCCTCGCCAAATATGTATAAAGTACTGTGGTCAGAGTAGGAAAATTACCCCACGAAAGACTTTCCCCCCCGAGTCTCAAGAGGGCCTTGCCTTGGGATGTTTGGCCAGTTCCAATTATTCTACGAAGTTAGTAATTGTTAGAAATGAACTACTACTAAGGCCGACAGGAAATGTTAGATGAACCTGATTTAACTACAACAAAAAGGTTGCAAAGTTGGGATCAAGATAAATTAGCAAAACAAAAGTACATACAACACATGAAAACAATTCTAAAGCACTGCAGCATGTTTGTGTTATATACAATTATTGAAGGCATTTGAGATCAAAATAATGACAGGCATACAAGAGTGAGTTGGAGGACTTTAGGAAAGTTAAATGTAATACTGAAGAAGAATAAATGTTTTTAAATGGTGCATATTTTGCTTGTTACGACATAGGGATCAAAAACATTGACATTGGCAGAAATAGAACAAACGCTGAAAAGGGCACGGATACGCGTGGGGTACATGTGAAGTATTCGGAATGACGGCAGGAAACCACTTGACGGGTAGCACACTTTTGATTAAACCTTGACTTGTCACGATACAACGTGTGGTCACTATTCCTCACACTACACACACTTCACTTGACACGTGTGGTCACTACCTTTCCCACTACACACTACACTTGACACGTGTAGTTACTATGGCTCACGCTATATGCTCACACTGCATGCTCACACTGCACTCCAGCCCCGTAACGTCCGTGGAGCCTCCAGGCCCACCCCAGCTTGGGCGTGGGTCACAACCTCTGGGTCCCGAGGGCCGGCCCTCACACGGACGTTCGGCCCCGGGTCCCAGGGTCCCGCCTCTGGGTCACACAGAGCCCCGGCCCTTACAAGGACAGCGGGCCTAGGTGCCGCAGGGCCCTATCTCTTCCTCCTCCGTCTTCAGTCTTCGCTGGTCACCAACTCCCCGTGCGCCTGTGCGCACCACCTTATATAGCCCCCGCTCTCGGGAGACGGAGCGTATGCGGACCTCGACGTGAGCATCCCCCTTAGTTGACCAATCCCCGCGCGCTTGCCCCAGGATCCCATCGCTGTCAGCGCACGTCACCGATACCCAGCCAATCACTGCCTCATAACCCCCGACCCCGCGCTGACCCCTGATCCTTCACCGTCAGCGCGCGTCACCAACACACACAGCCAATCACTACGCGCTGGCACACGATCCCTACCCCAGCGCGTATCACCACTACATCACCCCCTCCCACATAACTCGCAGCCGGCCCGGCTGCTAAACAACACAACACAACACAACAAAACCCCACCCCCCAGTGTGCCCCGTAACGCAACAACAACAACACAACGACACAACACCCGACAACAACCTATGTACAACCCGACAAACAACACAAAAAAAAGTCAACAACAACACACAACACCTAGACAACAAGCTATGTACAAACCGACGAACAACACAATAAAAGCAAGTCCAAGAAAAAGAACGTGTCCAGTGTCTCTGTGACTATCGATCCCCCCCCTCCGCTCGCTCCTCCACCGGGGTGATAGAGCGGTCGAGCGGACGAGGAACGCAGTGACGAGGCGCTCCGGCCGCATCGGCCCCTCATTCGGTTGGTCATGAAAAGTTGCGCGACTGAGCGCGAGTCCGCCTGGCCGGTCCATCGTATGGGACGGGACGCTGACGACCGTCTGGTGGCTCCGGCAGCCCTGGAAGGCGCGGATCGGGCCTGGAAGGACCGGCCGCGCCGCGGGGATCCGGCCGCCGGTGGTCGGCAGCTGTCAGTTCCGAGACACCTGGGAGCGGATCAGGCGGAGACATGTGAGGATCAGGCGGAGACATTTCCCCCCTTGGGTCGTCGGTCACGTCACATGCTCGGTCCTCACGACACAAAGGGAGGCCATATGGAGGCGAGAACGGTTTCAGTCGGGAGGGGTGGACGTACCAACGGCGCTTTCCCCATTTTATCTGAACACACTGGGGGCGTGCAACCCGCACGACCTCCACGGGTCCCCGCCATGGCTTCAACAATTTATGCGACGTAGCCAAAGGTGCCTGAGGGCAGTGCAGCCAGGCCCTATCGCCTGGTTTCCAGTTGTGCACGGACACCTTCCGTGCACGCAAACGCTCGTTGGCAATTTGGCGAGCCTGCGAATTAAGCCGTGCGGCCTCCCGTGCCTCGGTCAGCTTATGAATGTTAAATTTAATATGTTCAGCCAATTTCGAATTCGTTCGTGGCGCGGACAGTCCCAGCTGCGTTTCCATGGGCGGGTCGGCTTCCCGACCATACATCAGATAGAATGGGGAAAATTCCGTTGCTGCATGGGGAGCCATTCCATACGCGGCGAGGACCCCCGGGACCTGCAGGTCCCAGTCAACATGTGCCTCACACACCTGCTGGCACAGCATAGAAGTCAAAGTCCTGTGGAGTCGCTCCACCATCCCGTCTGTCTGTGGGTGGTACGGGGAGGTACGCACCTTCTTAGTACCCAATAGGTCGCACACCTCTTGCAGCAATTTACTTGAAAAATGTTTCCCTTGGTCGGTCAGCAAGCGTTCGGGAGCCCCCTTGTCCAGAACGTAGCCCTGGACAAAGGCGTCCGTCACAGCCGCCGCCGACTGGTTGGCGAGTGGCCACGCCATAGGCCAC